TTTCTATCTTCTCTTCTGCACAACAGGCCTGGCAATTTTCTAAAAGATAACAGTTTTGACAATACCGGCTAAGCAGGCTTGATGCTCATGGACATCCTAGATACAGGGAAAAGCAACCCCAGTTTCCACTACAGAACGCCATGAACTGAGATGGTTAATTAACATGTAAATTAATGAGACTTGAGGGTTTTCTTTCCGTTTGGAAACCCCCCAGGAATGCTCCTTCTCTGCAGACAGTCCAGATTCTTCAGTTATTATGGACCAAGTCTCATGCACGGACTTGCTTCTGCAAAATTCTGAAGGAGGGGCAGGCCAGGAGGGAAGGGAACAGCATGGTCACAGGAGAGGGGTCTGTCCAGGGCTTTGGGATGGTCATCGGAAGAGAAATGTCCCTGGACACCATTCCCTCTGCACCCTTGTGCTCGCCACCAAAACTGGCACGTACTGTGTCCCCAGGCACGTGGGCAGCGAGCACGGACATCTGCTCCGTCTGCCGAGTGGCGATTATGGGCGGACCTAAAAGAGTCAGCATTCAGCTTGTGCATTTGCATAATGGGGCTCTGATCAGTTCTGGCTGCAAAACGGATAAACTCATGTTTCTGAAAAGCCTAGGACCAGACCTGGGACATGCTGGTCACCTGGGTACTGTGGCCCGCGGGGCTCCGTCAGGGTGCCCGCGACCTCCCTGGCCAACATCAAGGGCGTCTGCATCCCCGAGAGGAAGCAATGCCCTGAAAGGCAGTTGGCATAACCCCTGGCCAAGCTTCTTGGAAACACCCCATTCACTTAGACCAGCGGTTCTCAACCTGTGGGTCTCGACCCCTTTGGGGGTCGAACAACCCTTTCACAGGGGTCGCCTAAGACCATCGGAAAACACATATATAATTACATATTGTTTTTGTGATTCATCACTTCATAACAGTAGCAAAATTACAGTTATAAAGTAGCAACAAAAATAATTTTATGGTTGGGGGTCACTACAACATGAGGAACTGTATTAAAGGGTCGCGGCATTAGGACGGTTGAGAACCACTGACTTAGATGAAAGCAGCAAACGAGTGCTAAGTTCTGCTAACTCCTTCCTCCCCCGGGAGCACAGTCGACTGAAGACGGCACTGTTTTAGGCGAGCTCAGATGTGGTGTCACAGCCTTGGACAAATCCATCTGGATAAAGTAACGGAGAGAGGAAGAGAGGAGCCCTCGTTTAATGAGGGTCTGCCATGTGCCAAGCACTGTGTTGTCACTTCCACTATATTGATGGCCAGCCATGCGGTCCCCCATACGTACATCATTGTGCCAAGTCCCTTACCAGGTCCTGGAGATGCAGGAGAGAAGGAAATGGACACTGTCCCTACCCTCAACCTCTTCATTGGTAAAACAGGAATATCAGTACCTACATCTTAGGGCTCTTTGTACCTCAAAGGAGGGAAAATATGCAACGTGCTCAGTGTAGCATGTGCTGGTGCACTATGGCGAGTGTTCAATAAGTATTAAAGGCCCAGGACACTTGCGAGAGGCATCCGTATCCCCTTTTACTATCTAGCCTGAGCCACAGAGGTGACGTGACGTGACCTGCCTAAGGGCACCCAGACAACGGTCCTTCCTTCAGCCACACCCTGAGCTCCTCTCCCCCAACAAGGAAAATGGGGGGTTCAGGGCCACTCCTGTCTGCCTAGGTCCAGGCATCGCATGCCTTTTACCTGCTCTCACCATCCAGGATGCTTCCGGTCATCCGTGAAGCCAGGAGAACAGCCCCCAGGGTTGCTATGATATTGAGATCCTGCATGGAGGTGCTTCGCATACAGCCTGGCACGCAGTGAATCTGAAGCTGGCTCCTGAGCTCATCAGCACAGGCCTGCTGCCCTCACCCAAGTCTAGCTCCTCTACCTTCCTGAGCACTCAGAACATGTGGGCCAGGGAGATGGGGGGCGGGGCAGAGGCAGACCCCACCTACACGGAGTTCAGGGTCTAACCCCCAGGCTGGAAAGTGGACACAAAACGACAAGCTCCTCTGCCTCCATGACACTCACCAGTGCTCCCTGTGCACAGTAGGTCCTCAGAGGAGTTTAGAGGAAGAAACGGTTACTGAGTGTGCCCAAGTCAGGGCGGGCACTTTCATACTGATTGCCTCATTTTAACCTCCCCACAAGCCTTCGAGGTACGTGTTCTAAGTCCATATTCAGATGAGGGAGCTGAGGTTCAGAGAGATTAAATGACCTCCCCCTGGTCCCACAGCTCGTCAGGCCCCAAATCCAGGTCCGCCTAACATTAAAGCCCCAGTTCTTTTCGGCGGCGGGCCAGGCCGTGAAGATGCGGGGGAGGGAGCAGCGACCAGGAAAGAGGCAGGAAGGCAGCTGCTTTGGGAACCACCCCCGAAAACTGAGGCGCAAGGACATCTCAGTGTCTCACTAACCAGCCCTGCCACCCAGAGGCCACCTGCCTCCCTCCCGCCAGCTTCCAGCCTCCCTTCCGATTGCCACAGCCACATGGAAAATGGTAATGGATTCAGCTTGATCCGCAGGGGAACGGAAGATTTGGCCTGCATTACCGATCTGAAGTTAACATGTAATTTATGCTAATTGCAGCCAAAGGAGGCCTTTCTCCTCTAAATGGAGAACCGGTCCTATTAATAAGAGCACGTGGCTCCCGGTAATGAGCCGCCTGGCAGATGGTCGGCTCATGGGCTGGGGGGAAAGATGACTAGGAAAGGAGCAAAAGGATGGCAGCACAGAGAATGACAACTGGTCAAGAGCCTCCCCGGGGGCAGGGGGCGGGGGGAGCAGCTTTAGAGCCAGGGGAGTCTGCAGCCACCCCTGGACCTGCAGGGACCTGAGCCTGAAGGCTGTTAGAGGACGTGCTGACCAGGACCCAGCCGGGGTTGCCTGCCTGACCTCCATGCTCTCTGGTCTTTGCCACTGCCCAGCGGCGACACTAATCTCTTGCTGCACGTGGAGAGATGGATGTCCAGGGAGGCTGTGTCTTTGCCGAACCCAGGCTGCCCAGAGGCAGGACTCAGAACCAGGGCTCAGCTGACAGCAAAGCCCATGCTTTCCTTTCCCCAATGTGAGTTACTGTGTGAGTCGGGGTTACTGTGTGAGTCGGGGTTACTGTGTGAGTCGGGGTTACTGTGAGAGTCGGGGTTACCGTGTGAGTCGGGGTTACCGTGAGAGTCGGGGTTACCGTGAGAGTCGGGGTTACTGTGAGAGTCGGGGTTACTGTGTGAGTCGGGGTTACCGTGAGAGTCGGGGTTACTGTGAGAGTCCGGGTTACTGTGTGAGTCTGGGTTACCGTGAGAGTCGGGGTTACTGCCTGGCAACTATTCACTGCCCCCCCCCCCCATGGGCGGAGTGGACTGCCCCCCCTAACACCCAGGGCTCGGCCACCATTTGCTTTGGCCAGCAGAACATGTGGAAGATTACAAATTGCCGAGCCCTGGCTGGTGCGGCTCGGTTGGCTGGAGTGTCCTCTCGTACACCAGAAGGTTGTGTGCGGGAGGCAACCCTTTCACATCAATGTTTCTCTTTCTCTCTCTCTCCCCCTGCTCCCCCTCAAAAAATCCAAGTTTTAAAAATCGCCAAAAATTCGTTGCCACTTCTCCCCCCCCAGAAGAGGAATCGATTCCCTCTTGGTTCCTTTGAATATGATCAGGCCTGCAACTCGGTTTAACCAACAGAACGTGCAGAAGTGCTGCGTTCCAGAATCTCGGCCTTCAGAGGCCTTGCAGGTTTCACTCTCGCCATCTTAAAAGGCTGCCTCGAGAACAGCGTATAAGGAAGTCAGGCAGGCCTCCTGGGGGTGAGAGGGCTGGGGAGGGGCTGAGGCGCCCTGGGTGGCTGCCAGCGCCCACGGCCAGACAGTGAGTGAGATGGACTTGAATGGCCCAGGCATTCCAGCTCTCACGGCAACTGCGCGAGTGAGACGAGGAGAGGAACTGCCTGGTCAATTCGTAGAATTGCGATAAGTAATCAGTTATTGCTGTTCTGAGCTACTGTTTGGATAGGTAGTTGGAAGTAATAAGTAACTGATACAGCATGCTAGTAAATACAACGGGAGCAGAGGTCTAAATGTTGCATGTGTGGTTTGGCTTGGCTCTTCACTCTAGTGATAAACCAGAACCTGGTGGCTGCTGCCCCTTCAACCTCACCAGGACAAAGGCACGTGGAGTAGACTTAAAACCAGAAACTTACAGCCAGAAACAGACTGTTCTAGATCCTGGACATATCTGTGTTTGGGGGTGGTTTGTTATGTGGCATCACTGTAGCACTAGCTGACTGATACACCCATCCTGTATATCCCACACGTTTCTATAGCAAGAACTGGGTTCTGTGTGAGAGATAGTCCCCCCATTTTTTCCCAAGAGAGAGACTGCGGCGCTATAGGTATTATTTGCACAAAGCTTCAAGAAGACGGAACATGGCTTTATGCAGTAGGAGTCAGTGGCATTTCTGTAGCTCAACAAAGCCATTTACTGGAGGGGAGGAAGAGCTAAGGATAGGGAGACATTGGGGGTCTCCAAGGGGTTCCTCCCAGCAGGCCATGAGGTCCCAGGTGGCTTATCTGTGGCAGGTAGAGCAGGAAAGGCAGGCAAGGGATGCCTTTTTGACGTGCTCTGTCTGCTGATGCCGGGCGGGGAAGCGTGTACATAGAAAGGGAAGGCACACGCTCTCCTCGGGAGGAACGGGAGCCCGCCTTTACCAGAGCTCCAGATGCAGCCTCCTCGGTGATTATTGACTGACCTCCGACCCCAGGCTGGATGTTCCTGCTGGAAACAGCTCAGCCTCCTCAGGGCCTTTGCATGGTGGTCCCCGGTTACCCAAACTGGGAATGGGACACTGTTCACTGATGTGGACAAAACCAAGTGGAAAGGAGGCTGCTGAGAGCTACAGGGGGCCTCAGGGTCCTCCAAAACGGCACAGGGGAGATGGTGAGGCCCACCCACCGCAGGGCTCACACACAGGGCGTGGCCCTTCCACCCTGAATGCCAAGGACGGCACGTCCACCTTGCCTCTGCAACCAGGAAAACAGCTCTGATCCCCAGTCCATTTTAGCAGAAGATAAAGAGCAGGGATGAATCATGCTGCTGGGCTCCAGGGTCTCTGCCATGCCCGCTGGTGACGCCAATCCTGAAAATAACACCCGTCAGCCAGCCCTGCCTCCTCGGGCTGCTTCCGGCCCGGCCCACGGCGGACAGCCCCACCCCTCCTGGCTTGCTAGCAACGGTCAGCAATCAGATCGCACGCTGGTGTTGACCCCGGGGAGTGGCCTTAGGGTGGCAGACACTCTGAAGAGCGGAAGCTGCACTGGCGTCCCGGAGCTGAATTTGGTCCATCTAGGAGGGGTTTGGCAATTTGCAAAAATACTCTACACGGCACCTGGCTTGCTCCTCAAAGCAAGTGCGTGGTGGGAATGGTCAGCTCTGCTTTCTAAGTGGGGAAGCTGGGGCTCAGGGAGGCGTTCCAGGAAGCCCCGAAGGAGAATGCTGGGTGCACCTCCAACCCTGCTCCCACCCACCCTCTGCTCTCAGGACTAGGACTCCCTGCCTCGGTTGCTTCTTTTGCCTTTAGCGTCCTGCTGCTGCTAAGCTTCACCAGGAGAGAGGTTGGTCTGGGTCAAACAAACAGTGGGCCACTCCCAAGTGCCCTGAGGTCTGCACCACAGTCGCCCAGCCCCCTCCTACGGCTGCCTCTGTGGACAGATCTGTCCCAAAGTCGCATTCCGCCCTGGAGACCTCCCCCACCCGAGGCCGGAGCAGTGGCACTGAAGCTTCCCGCTCTGGGCACAGGAAGTATGCCACTGGAGGGCACGAGCCACTCCCAAAGGCACCTGCAGGGAAAACATATGTCCACCTGGAACCTATGAATGAGACCTTATTTGGAAAAGGGGTCTTTGCAGATATAACTAAATTATGCAAATGTAATTAGTTAAGGATGCTGAGATGAGGTCATGCTGGATTTGGTGGGCTCTAACTCCAAAGACACTGTCCTTAGAAGAGAAGGAAGGAGAAGGTGATGTCAAGACGGAGGCAGAGATAGGAGTGATGCACCTATATGCCTAGGAACGTAAGGAGAGCCGGCAACCCCCACAAGCGGAAGAGCAAGGCAGGACCCTCCCTGAGCGTCAGAGGGAACGTGGCTGTGCCCACAACTCAATTTTGATCTTTCTTCCCCCTCCTCCTCCCATTCAAGAACATGCATTAGGATGTCAAGGCCAATGTCATGACTACAGGACTCACATCCACTTTATGTACAGAAAAAAAACCTGATTTTCCAAAGGACTTACGCTGTTGTCTATTTTCCAGCGGTTTTAAACGGTGAGCTGCTATTTCTAAAAGCTGAGAACACATTCGCAGACTCAGGACTCCAGGTCCCAAACCTCTGGACTAGGCATCCACTTGGGGAGGGTGCTCCCCTGTGACAAGAGCCAGACTCACCTTTCTCCTGAGCCATCTCTTGCAGGCAGAAGTAGATGACTCTGGCTCCCAGGCTGAAGCCAATCAAAGTGACAGGTCGCCGGCCCTGGGGGGAAAAGGACACAGGTGTCTGGGAGGGGACACAGCTGGTTCTAGCAAAACATGGGCCCCGAAGAGGGTGGTTCTTGCCTACTCCTCAGCGCCTGCCGTGAACTCGATGAATGATGCATGTGCTACTCCCGCCCCCCGAGCTCTGATGGCCCAATCAGGAGAGTCAGGGCCCTCGTTCACACAGGATCACGCCTGACGCTGGAGTCGGCTGCCTCCCAGGCCCACAGGCAGCCCCTGGCCGGGTTAATTCCTCTTCAGCTCAAACCGTAATCCAGCTGCCATCTCTTCTGCCCCAGAGGCAGGACTCATCTGCCTCGTGGCAAATGACTGCAGGGAAGTGGGGCCTTTCTGGAGCCGGGAGAGGAGGTGGAAGGCACCCCAGATGCAGTGGGAAAAAGGCAGAGTGACATGGAGGGCCAGCTCTTCTCTCTCTAGACAGGCAGGTGGGGCATGAAATACTGGCCTCACATGACATGAGTAGGGAGTGAAGTTAGACGTAAAGAGGAACTTTCTGACTAAAGAACTTGTAGAAAAGGCAACACAGAAAAAGGAAGTTATCTGGGGTATTTGGGCACAGGTTCTGCTTAGCAGGAGAGGGAAGGAGCAGATGAGCTCCCAAGGCCCAGCCCAGTCCGGTCTCACCAGTCTATTCCTTTTCCTTGTTTTTGTGCCAATACCTGTGCCCACCTCCATTTACTGCCGTCGACAACCATTAAATAGGACTCCAGCTCTGCAGGACCCTGGTGGCTGAGGCTGCTATTCATCTCCAACACCCATCACTCGCCATGTCCCTGGAGACAGAACTGAGTTCTGTGGGCTCCCAGCCACAGACTACGAGTTTAACTCCCCTGTAGCTAGGGACGGCCACAGGGCTGAGTCCTGCCCAGGGGTGTGAAGGAAGCAACTGGTGTGACTTCCAGGCACGCCCTTCACTCCACTTTCCTGCCTCTGACGGTCTTGGATGTGGATGTAACTTGGGCCGTATTACATGGTATCTGGACCACTGATGATCTGTTCAGAGGGGAGCTCTATACTTCTTTTTTTAAAAAAAATATATTTTTATTGATTTTAGAGAGTAAGGGAGAGGGAGAGAGATACAGAAACATCAATGATGAGAGAGAATCATCGACCAGCTGCCTCCTGCACATCCTACACTAGGCATGTGCCCTGACCGATGTGGGGAGCGGCTCTAGGGTTAAGCCTCAGACTGACCTGTGTCAGGGCCACAAACAAGTCCCAGCTTGGAGGGCAGAGCCCTCTTAGCATAATTAAGCTTAACCCTAGAGCCCTCCTTAGTTCCCTCCCAGGTAGCTAATGGGCTGTAGGAGGTGCAGCAAGTGCTGCCAAAACAAGGTGAAACTCACAAGAACATTGTAAACATGTTGACCACTACCCTTGTTTTGATCTCACTATAAAATAAAGCCTCGGCTTGCAGGCTGGGTCTTTCTGTGTCCTCATCCAGGCACCGGAGATCCACCGAGCCCCAGCTGTATTCTCTTGTCTGTCTTTTCTTCAATCCTTCACCGCCCCTCCTCAGGATCACTGAACCCTTGGCTGTGCTGGCGCAGCACAGACTGGGAATCGAACTGTTACCTGGTTCATAGGTCAATGCTCAACCACTGAGCCATGCCGGTGGGCGAGAGCTCTACACTTCTATGAAGAAACACCTGGCTTTGTCCTTACCTGCGGGTGCCTCTGTTATTCAGTCCTCACCTCTTTACCTGCTAGGGACGCAGAGTCTCTAATTCTTACTGATCTATCCTAGGACACTTTTGTGACTTGAGTTAGAGGAGCAGCGAAGACCACCCACTCCCCCAAAGCCAATGGGCGACCTCCACACAGATGTATTTAGGGCTGACATCTGTGTGCCAGTCAGCCCCATCATCCCCCCCCCCCACCCCCCGCCCCCCGCCGGGCCCCCAACTGCAGCCATTCCCAGGTACCTGCTGCCGGGAGAGCAGGATGTGGGCCAGGTGCTTGCCAACCTCTGCTGACCGATGGAGACAGACCCCCCAGGGGTTGTCGATGATGTTGGCGACAGAGAGGAGTGAGGCCGGCCAGGTCAGGGCAGCCGTAATGCCTGGGGAGGTGCAATGTCAGAGATGAAGGCGGTAGGGGTCCTTTTGGGGAAGGGGTTGGCTGGCTACTGGATCCCCAAGTGAGTGCACGTGCATCTCTACCTTGGAACCTGTAAGCTCTCCCAGTGTTGTCAAACTGCTACATAGCAAAGAAGAAACTTGAAGCTCATGCGTTTCTGACACATGGACCAGATCCCTTCTGTTCAGGCATCTGTCATGTGTGAGATTCCAAAGATGACCCCATTTTGTCCCTCCACCTGGTACCCTCCCACTTAGCCTGGTGACTCTGCAGTGTCCCGCCCCTGCCCTGCTCATCCACTACGGGCTCAGCCATGTGACTTGCTTTGGCCAATGAGATGCTAATAGATGTGAGACATCAAGCAGACTTGTGCATGGAGGCCAGCCTCTCATGTACTCTGCCACTGGTGTGGGCTAGCCTGCTGATCCCAGGAGGAGGAGGAGAGACAAATGGGACAGAGCCAAGTTGCCCTGGTTGCCCCAGACCAGGCTAGCTGGATCGGTGGACAGTCAGCTGACCCACAAATCCATGAGCAGACCCAGCAAAGGCCAGCCAAATGAAGCCTCATGACTCCAGAGCTATTATGATAAATGAGATTATTTTAAGTCACCGAATTTTGGGGTGGCTTCTCAGGCAGCAAGAACCAACTGATACATTATGTGATAATGGGACTGGCCATTTACCTGTCTCCTCCCCAAGAAAACCCAACACTCTCACAGACAGGAACTCAGTGTCTTAACCTCTCCATGTTCCTACGGTCCAGCACAGTGCCTGGCTCACCTGGGGCTCAGGTATGCAAAGGTCTGGTACCAGCGTGGGTTGGGAGTAGGGGGCATGCTGCTGGCGGTAGAGACAGGAGGACTTACCAGACAACACTGTGTACTTTAGGGCCTCCTGGGCCACTATGCTTGCAAGACCGCTGAGGATGGTCTCCAGGGCATTGCCGAGCTCCATCAGGTATTTGGCCTCCCAGGCTAGGCAGTACTGCTCGCAGCTGCGGGCCAGGGCAGCCCATGGAGCGCTGAAGGTGCCTGGGGAGGACACAGGTAGGTGGGGTCTCTCCTGTCTGTGTTAGAGGATGCCCCACCCCACTTTCCCAGATAGGGGACCACTCACCCTCGGGGGGAGACAAGAGGCCCACAGTGTGTACCTATACATACTGCTGAATGGATGGATTTATTGATGGGTGGATGGGTGGGTGAACAGATGGATACATAGATGGATATAGATGGATGGAGAGTAGGATGCATGGATAGTTGGATGGATGACGGATGGAAGGAAAGATGATGGATAGATGTGCAGACAGTTGGGTGGATGGGTGAATGGATAGGCAGTTGTATGAATGGATGATGGATGACAGATGAATGGATGAATAGATGGATGTGGAATGAAGTCTCCTTACTTCCCTGAGCCTGTTTCCTCCTCTGCAAAATGGGGCTCCCTTACCCACCCTCTAAAGACATACACAGGCAAGAGCCAGGGTCAGGCCCACAGCAGCAGGCCCGCTCAGCCAACATCTACCCCCTCTACACCCTTGTCCACTCCACTCTGGTCCTCACGGTATTTGCCGGACGCCAGCCACCCCGTGATGGCGATGGTGATGTGCAGCTGCCTGCCTTCCGTCAGAGGCAGAAATGTGAACTCCTCAATGGCCCCCACACGCTTCTTCATCTTGTATCCTAAAGACCCAGACACAGAAATGAGAATGGAGGTGACCTGGGGTCCTGGGGAGTGTTAGTCAGAGAGGCTCTCTGTGTTCACAGCTCAACCGTGAGTGCCGGCCAGGTGCCCTGCCCTTGGACACATGTCTCACTTTTCAACTCACTAAGGCAGGTGCCATTACTGTCCCCAATTACCGATGAGGGTAAGAGGTTTCCAGAGGCTGGCCTGCCCCCGAGGGGCAGAGCTGGGGTTAGAGCTCAGTGCCCAGGCTCATAACTACCACTCTGTCCTGACTCAGTCGGTTCTATGTCATTTTTCCTGCCCACAAACGTCAGGGCTACAACACACTCCTTTCAGTAAAAGTGGATCAAACTGACCAAGATTCTCAGTGTGGAAAGCGACAACCCATGTGAGGAGTGGAACAGGAATGTGGGGGGCTGCTGACACCTATGATTTGGGAAAACTCCCTGAGGAGGTGCTGGTAAATGAAGAGCAGCCATGTGCTCTCTTACAGGAGGAAGCCCAAGTGTCTCCGAGGAGGCCTGTCTGGAAACTTCCTAAATGGTGACAAGCAGGTCCAATGAGACCTTTCTCAGGACGTCTACTACACAAGGTGCAGTTTCTCAAACGCAGGCCTTGCACCGACCCATGCCGAGCGATCGCCCAGTCCTCTGTGCAGCCTGCTGCTAGTTCCGGCAGGGCTGGGACCCAGCATGAGAAAAGTCGTGTGCTCCTCCTCCATCTCCCGGGGAGCCATCCCTGGGGACAATCTGGGTGGGTCCTTTAGGAGCTGGGCCACCCTCCTCACTGCCCCCTTCTCTGGAACCTTACCTGTCAGACTAGCTCCAGCTGCACCGAACAGCGACGTCATGACAGCTATGCCGGCCACTGAGCCCAGAGCCGCTGCCCCAGCACTGCCAATGATCGTCGCGGCCCCGGCGGCAATAAGAGGGGCGGCCAGACCCCCGGTCACTCCTGCCAAGAAAGCAGAAAGTAGGGTAAAGGTGGGAGTGAGGACGTGGCCTGCTAGATTATTCTCCCATGAGCTACCCATTACCTTCTACAGAGGCACACGAATGAACACACTGCTGATGGAGCACCTACTATGTGCCCGGGGACACCTGCCAGCCCATCTCCGCCCTCTCCACTCCCAGCCTGACATCTCCCGTCACTCTAAACTGCTCGGACCCATGTGCCACCACCTCAGCTTGCGCTGGCCTCACCGATCGCTGTCCCGCCTCCGACGGTCGCCAGGCCTATCAGCAGATAGCGCTTCCATTTCTTCCGGTTTTCTCTCTTCTTCCTGGACGCCTCGGCCGTTCTGAGGGAGAAGAGGTTGGTCCTTAGGGTCGGTGGTGCCTGGAACCCCTGGAGACCCCTCCGCCTCACCAACCCCCAAGCTGGGATCAATGCTGGGCACTCTGTCATTCAGAGCAAGGTACCAAGGTCACCCTGGGCCCATCGATGCTTTTAAAAAGCCGAGAACATTCTAAAACCCAGCTAGGGAATCCCAGTGTGTGGGATGCTCTACTTACCCAAAGGATCCATCCTAACAGGGTTGCAATTTGAACGATGGAAAGACAAAAAAATAACAATAGCAGTAAAAGAAGCACAAAAATATCTTTTAACAGATGGACCCAGACGAGTACCAAACAGAATCACAGACGCCCTCGCCTCCCTCCTTTCTTCCCTTCCCCTTGACATCTGAGCTGGCCTCCTTCTGGGATTTTTGGAAACCAATTTCTTTCAGGATAACCATTTCAAAGATGGGTTAGAGAAATGTCTGCTCTGGAGACCTTGGCCGTGGGGCACTAGCTAGAATTGTTCAGAGTGGAAATGTAAAAGCTATAAGATGTAGCAGGAGGGAAGCATTTAGAGTGCTTTGGGTCAGCTGAATCCTGAGAATGGCCAACGCGAGTGCTCAGAGCGTCACTCAGCCCCGTTTTCCTGATGGACACCCGGTCCTCAGTGCTTTAGGACACTAAGGAGTAGGACCAAGCGGACATCAGGGGCACGAACTCTGAACTGAAGTTGGAGTTTGGACAATTCAACGTGTAGAGCGATAGCAGACGATGATAAAAGATGGTTAATACTGATCCGGAATTCCTGCATGCCAGCTGCCATGCTTTATGTTTCATGTGGTTTATCTTATCCCTGAAGCAGTGTCACGATTGTCCCCATGTTACAAAGTCAGGGCTAAGATTCCCCCTCGAGGGGCGGTGGGGATCGGTGAAGAGGAAGTCTGTCAACCACGCAGCACAAAGGCACCCGGCGAATGCTGACCAACGGTGGCTCCTGCGTCTTCCCGAGCCTCAATTTCCTCTTTTGTAAAACGCGGACAATAACACCTACCTCTTAAGGTAGTTGATTTGTAAAGATTAAATCCATTCCTTCTTTATTCATTCAATCAACATACTGACTGAGAGTGGATGACCTGGGGGCCCTCTGGGTACCAGGGATCGGCAGTCTGGACCAACATCTGTTTCCTTCTCATCTCTTCCCTCATGAACTGCACAAGATGGTGAGAAATAGTCCGTCCTGCCTGGTCAGTGTGGCTTGGTGGTTGAGCACTGACCCATGAACCAGGAGGCCCCGGTTTGATTCCTCGTCAGGGCACATGCCCAGCAAGGGGGGATAATAACAATACTTCATTCCCAGGGGTCTGGTGAGAGCTCTGGGCAATGGTCCGCATACAACCCTGGCATGTTGTCATCTGTCTGGTGGTCTTAGCCTGCATTTCTAGACCATCAATGTTCAGAGGGTGGGCTCTGGATCAACTGCATCAGAATCCCCAGAGGGTAGCCGTTAAAGGCACAGCTTCCTGGGCCAGAAGCTCTGGGCGTGAGGGTGCAGAAACTACCCGTACCAGCTCTCCAGGGACCTGCTGCATTCCTAGTGTGAGAACCGCAGGGCCAGACCTTCAGGGCACAGGCCGAGCCTCTCCTGCTTCCCACCCTCAGCAGCTGGCCCTGGGCTAGGACCTGGAGGGTGCTCAGAAAATGTTTCCTGAACAGAACCGAGTCATTCTGACCGGGATTGACCCTGAACCTCTTGCTGCGGCGATCTATCCCCCCACTCACTGTCCACATCTATGAAAATCAGAGGGGCACGGAACAGAGCATAGGCCAGTCACCATCGAGAATGAAATTCTGGCCCGACCAGTGTGGCTCAGTGGTTGAGCATCGACCTATGAACCAGGACATTGACCTATGAACCAGGAGGTCACGATTCAATTCCCAGTCAGGGCATATGCCCTGGTTGTGTTCTTTGTCCCCAGTAGGGGTAGGGCAGGAGGCAGCTGATCAATGATTCTTTCTCATCATTGATATTTCCCTCTCTCTCTTTCTCTTCCTCTCAGAAATGAAATCAATAAAAATATATATATAAAAAAGAAAAGAATGAAATTCTGGTTGCAATAGCTATGTATGGTACCAGGTAGGTACCAGAAATATCGGGGGAAACACGTGGTAATTTATATGATTGTCTAACCACTATGCTATACTCTTGAAAACTAACACAAAATCATATTGAATGTAAACTGTAATTTAAATAAATAAAATTATTTTAAAAGAGAATACAATTCTGGGGTATTAGAACAAAGCTGGAATGTTATAACATTTTAATGATTACTACAGGTTTGTTTTTAAGAACACAGTCACATTTTTGAGCTGGTGCCCTTGACATCTGCCAGCCCCATCTGCTTCTAGACACTAATCAACATGTTTAGCTGAGCTTATGGAGGGGGAGACTCAGAGCCTCAAGGGAAGAAAATAACTAAAAAGTAAAAATAGTTCTTGAGGCTGCTGTATCTAAAGGTATGAATGCTAGTGTATCAAACTCATTTTGCCAAGATTAGATGAACCATTACTCTAATCTCTAGAATTCTGCTTTGTATTATTATTGAAATGTTTATAAACATTTGCTGAATCAAAAAGAATGCAGCATTTCCCCTACCCAGTCAGTCTCTCTCTCTCTCTCTTGGCATTCGCCTGAACTGCCAATCTACTTCCTTATTTATATAAGCACCTGAACGTTCCTCATAACTGTTTTGTACATAACACAAAGAGCTTTGCCAGTCATCATTAATTATCCAGGTGTTTTATTCCTGCTATTACTTCCCTTGTCTGAATGTCAACATGGAAAGCAGGAGACATTCGCTCTGAGTGACGTCGATGATGTGTCTGTCCTATAGTTTGAAGTGAGAGTTCCAAGCACAAATCCCAATTCAAACGAAGCTCCGTTCCTGTTCTTGACTTTGCCTGTTGGTTAGGTACCATGGCGATCTCCGCCATCCTAGTCCCTGGCCACACTCGGGTTCTAGAATGCCAGAGAGGACCCTGAGTTGGCGTTCCATGTCCGCCTTCCAAAGACAGAGGCGGGAGTTTAAACACAGATCTGGGCCAAACCCCAGGCTGAAGCCACAGATGCTTAATCAAGAGCAAGAGGTCACCTTGTCCATCTCAGGGTCCCACACATCAGTTTCATTCCCTCCAGCCTATCTCCCCGGAAGGGTGCTCCTTGCAGTCATCCTCGCCCCACCCTCTTCTTTGTTTTAGTCACCTTCTCCAGTTGATAGAGAGGGAGAGCTTATCTCTGGGATATCTAGAGACACTTCCTAGTAAAAGCTTAGAAAGCTCCATAAAATAACTATCTTTACTGCTTTCTTCAGAATTAAGGAGGAAACCTGGGCTGGCCAACCAGGCCTTGAGGAATATGGCCAGTGACGTGCAGACTGGATAGGTGGTTGAATCAGATGATGCCCTGACCGCTGGGTGACCTTGGGCAAGTTAAGGTGCTCCTCTGACTTCCTGTTTCTTCCCTGTGAAACCCTCTGGAGATTGTTAGGAAAGCCCCAATGAGGAGACCTCTTGTGCCTACATCTAGTAAACACTCGATAGAAATTAGATGTTGACAATGTCCTTATGATGTGACCAGGGTCAACCTCCAGCAGGACTTTACCTAATGTTCACTGAGGCCTCCTATGTGCCAGGCACTGTTCCAAGCTTTTGATATGTATTCATTCATTGAATCCTCTTAACTGCCTAATGATGGAGATATTACCATTATCCCCAAGTCTGAGATGAAGAAACTGAGGCACAAAGGAGTGAAATCATCAAAGAAACGGGGAAAACCTGGATGGCTTGCGGACTCAGACAGGAACCCAAGAACAGAAAGGAGGTACGTCACACCCTGAACCCCAGCTGCAAAGGATCCCCTTGGGGTGCCGAGTGATAAGCTCGCCTTGCAGAAACACAAAACCTTAGAGTTAAAAGAAACCTACATACAATTCGATCCTCTGCTTGTATAGGTGACGAAACTGGTGCTGGTGCCCAGAGAGGGAAAGCAACATGTCCAGGGCCACACAGAGACTGGGTAGCAGAATCAAACCAAGAACTAGGCTGAACCCTTGCTATGCTTTTCCTGGGTCTCAGGGCCTTCCAAAGACCATAGATAGAACCTGAGAAGTGTCCAAAGTCCCTAACGTTGAATTAAAAAACTCCACACGTGGAGTTTTTTTCTGAGGAAAGAGTTCATACATAGTAATAACAGCCATGATAACAGATACTATAGCAAATGATATTTATCAGCCAGTTGCTCTGCACAAGGCCTGCCTGAAGCACTTTACATGTATGGACTCATTTGAGCCCCAGGAGAACCCTATGAGCAGGGCGCTATTATTATCACCCCCATTTTGCAGGTGAGGAAACTGAGGCCCAGAGAAGTGAACTAACTTGTCCAAGGTCACACGGCTGGTAAGTGGCAGAGCTGGGCTGTGTTAGAACTTCTGTTTCTACACATTCCCTGATCTGACTACCGGCATCTTCAGAACAAATCCTCTGGGTAATATGTTTCTTTCTGACAATAAGCTTTGCAAACAACAGCTGAGAGTTTCCTTCATTTCAAGGCACCTAAGACACTACAAATGTCCAATACATTTCCCGACGCTGGGCAGCCCTCGTGATGGTGGTCATTGACCTGTTTCTTTCTTAACACAGCCCTGGGAGCCAAAGCAAGTCTGTTGTCAGGTTTTTAAAACAGACCAAGCTTCCGCCTTTCTCAAGCAAACCACCTCTCCCTTTGCCCTCCAAACCCTGGCAGGAGGGCGGCTCCAGGTCTGAACTTGGCTTCAGAGCTAAATTCCCAGCTGGGCTGAGCTGGCACGACCTGGCTGCTCAGACCGTCACCGTGGCAGAACAAAACCCAAGGCTGGGAGACGTGCCTGGTGCACGGAGCCTACAATTAGGCTGTGACAGGATCGATTGATTGCTGTGGGATTAGATTCTGTGTTTAGCAAAGAGCTGAGCTCTGGCCAAGTTGCCAGGATAATTTCCCTCTACACACTCCCGACAATGCACAGATAGCAAAGCCGCTCTACAGCTGGTAGGTCCCGGGGCACGTGGGCAGGGGGGAAGGGAAGGACTCCCATACCGACCACTTGCTCAGGCCAGCCCTGGGCCGAGCACCTTATAATATGGTCACATTCCTTTTTCACAACCACCCTGGGAGGACGCTATCCTTATTCCCATTTTACAGATAAGAATATTGTACTTTAGAGAACGGAGGGCACCTGCCCAAGGTCAAAAAGGCGGGTGGATGTCAGAGGTAGGATTTGAACCCAGGCCACTCCGGCCCACGGACAAGAACCCGATGTGAAGCAGGGTATTGGGACCACAGAATGTTAAAGTCATAAGCCCTTAGCAATCACCCATTCAATCTCCTTTTCCTGGAAATGAGGACCGGGGCCCAGAGAGGGGAAGTGACTTGCTAAGGCCACACGGCCAGTCTGGCTGCCTTGGGATGCTCTGTGCACTGTCTCTTAATGGAAAGAGGGGATTTTTATCTGGAAAGTGCACTCCAGTGGCAGTTCTGGACTCCTGGCAGATGGGGCCGGTCTCAGGGCTCGCTTACTCAGATTCCTCCTCTTTGGTTTCCTTCAGGCTCTCAAGGAATGTCTCTTCAAGGAGATCCAGCTCCCCCACGGGCAGGCGGAGGAGGGAGGTCACGTGGCAAATGAGGACCCGGGCCCGAGCATCATAGCGCCCTCGAAAGAGAGAAACAACACGGGCAGGGAGTCAGTTTGCCCTTAAGAACAGAGAGGTTAACAGCAGAGTAACTGACAAAACCCAAACCCTGGAAACATCCTAAACACGCAACCCATGAGAACCAGTCAATTAAACAATAGCACAGCTTCCTGGATGGAGTATGTGCAACTAGCCTATATATGTGCAAATTGACCCTAATGGCAGAACGACTGGGAATGACTGGTCACTATGACACACACTGACCACCAGGGGGCAGACGGTCAATGCAGGAGCTGCCCCCTGGTGGTCAGTGCGCTCCCACAGGGGGAGCTCTGCTCAGCCACAAGCCAGGCTGATGGCTGCCAGTACAGTGGTGGTGGTGGGAGCCTCTCCCGCCTCCTCAGCAGCGCTAAGGATGTCCGACTGCAGCTCAGGCCTGCTCCCCGCTGGCAAGTGGACATCCCCCAAGGGGGCTGCCAGAGGGATGTCTGACTGCCAGCTTAGGCCCGATCCCCCCGGGGAGTGGGCCTAAGCCAGCAGGTGGTCATCCCCCGAGGGGTCCCAGACTGCGAGAGGGCACAGGCCGGGCTGAGGGACATCCCCCCACCCCCCAAGTGCACAAATTTTTGTGCACCGGGCCCCTAGTTAAAAATATTAATCAAAAGCAAGGTAGTACTTTTTCACCAAAGTAGCCAAGGTCATTTTTTTAAAAAGTTCCAAAGCTGTTAAGGAGGTGATGAACACGGTGCTCAGGTGAGAGTGTGCAGTCTGACAATATTTATTTATTTATTTATTTTTAAAATATATATTTTTATTGAATTCAGAGAGGAAGAGGGAGAGAGAAAAACGTCAATGATGAGAGAGAATCATTGATTGGCTGCCTCCCACATGCCCCACACCGGGGATTGAGCCCTGACAACCTATGTCCTGACAGGGAATTTAAGTGACTTCCTGGTTCATAGGTCAATGCTCAACCACTACCACAGTAGCCCGGCGAGTATACAGTCTGACAATATTTATATCAAAAACTTTAAAAATGTGACCCCCCCCAAAATCATAGGGCCAGAAGGTAGAATGGTGGCTACTGGGGAGGGGGGGCGTTGAGAAGGGGGGAATGAGGAGTTATTATTTATTAAAAATGGGTAAGGTGCTAAATTTTATGTTATATGTATTTTACCAAAGTTTAAAAAAATGGGAAAAAGGTGTGCATCCCCTTTGGCCCAGGAAGTCCAGTACTAAGACAGGCTCCCACACTGGATCTTTTTGACAAAGAGGGGGAAGCACAAGGACTCAGTATCCAGCTACTCTGCACCCACCTCGTATAGGGGGTGCAATGATGTGCGCTGTCTAAAATGCACATCACAAAGTTTTGAAGCGAGGACACCTGTTCTAGGACCGGCCCCAACGAATGTTACAGAATTGTCTCTTTTGCTGGGGGTCTGCGATGCTGGGCAATAATATTATACTAAAGTAGTAGTGGCTAGCCTTCGACAAGTTTCAGCCTCAAGTCCTGAAGTTTGAGGGTTCCTTGAACCTTCCTTGAACTAGGTTCCTCAGAGCGAGCTATGGTCTGGCAGCATTTGCCCAGCCCCCCTTGGCTGCCTCCCTCGATGTGGAACTGTCTACGTGCTGGGAAACAGACAACTGCATGTTGTATCTTGGGGTTATGGGGTCAATTAAAGCTCCAAACAAAGGAGCTCACTGTGCCTTCATGGGATCAGAGACTATTGCACCCAGGTGATAATCGAGCTGTGGAAATTAACCAAGCCTTGGCCATGGTGATTTAATTGGTGGCAATTATAATTAATGATTCATTTTTATTCCATTTGTTAAGGCTGCAGTGGAACACGCTGCCAGGGGCACAGGTAATCTCCCAAGGTATTCTCAGGCACGGGGCTCCAGAGTGGCAGCCTCATGTCAGGGTCACTTCAAGGATCTTGGTGGCCAGGCTGCTGGACTTGGAGCTGACATCCCAGAGTTGCTGGGGGGTTGACAAAATTAGCATAAAACAGTGAGCTCAGGGCCTGATAGGCTCTCAGTGAGTATCAGCTATGGTTAAAATTACCCCCAGGGCCCAGCAGAGGGCCTGGCACATGCACTGGGTGCTCAGTTCTTATTTGCTGAATGCATGGACCAGCCAGCGTTAATGCTGGTAACAAGTTGTATGACGCTCTAGGATGCTGATGGAGAACCCAGCAACCAGGTGACAATGTTTGCATTTCACCGTCACCAAAGACCAATATCTCAAACCCTTCTGATTCATCAGGGAGGCAGGGCTTGCGATCCAGTAATAAACACCAAGCCAGGAAGTAGGTAGAGCCAAGTTTGCGGTAGGGATTGCGACGTCCCATGCAGCGTGCACCTCCGCAGGTCCCTTGGCCTAGAGCTGACGCTATCTTTGGCTTCAGAGTTCAGAGGGCAAAAACCGTGATTCAGTTTAAGTCTCCAGGGCACCAACGCAGAGTTCACAAGGAGACCGGCTTTGCCTTAAATGGCATTTTGAAAGTTTGAAAGGTCGCCCTGGACTACTTAACCTACTGACTAGGTTCTCTTCTCCTGCCAGTGGAGATAACAGGACCTGCCTTAGCAGCTGAGGATTATATACTATGCAATACTTCACAAGCGATGTTCGGGACCTAGAAGAGCAACTAGAATACCTTGTAAAGATTACCGACTACAAATAAAGCAGCCCCACCTGAGATGGCCAAATTTGGGGTCCTAGAGCATTGGCTCTTGACCAGGGCTGTGTTGCTGTCCCACGCACCTCCCCCCGCCACCCCCCCTCAGAACATGTGACAATGTATGGAGACATTTCTGGTTGTCAGCACTCAGGACGTGCTTCTGGCGTCTAGTGACGGGAGGCCGGGGATACAGCTGAACATCCTACACTGCACAGGGTGGCCCCACCACAGCGAAGGACCCAGCCCCAAACGGCCGGAGTGCCAAGGGCCAAAAGCCCAGTTTAGAGTTAGCTCACATTCAGGTTAACCTTCAACACACAAAAGACGCATTGTTTCAGTTGTGTGTGCTAAGAGCTCTGTGGGTTGTTACAGGATGAGGAGAAAAAAAAATGATTAGCACTCCCCCAAAATTCCATCCAACTGCCCAAATGGCATCGTTCTGTGACTCAGATCCCAATACTGTCGGTAAAGGTCAACCTTCCAGGATGTTCTGAGAAATGCAGCTTTTCATGTTGATGTCCTGGGCTGATTTCATGACTAATCACCTCGCCTCACGCCCGAGGGAAATCCAGCAGCAGAGAGAGCCTCCTCCTCCGCTGTGTGCCCGCCTCATCAATGTCTGCAACAGAGACTGAACCCTGCTCGTGCGTAAGCTCGTCCTCTAAAGAAAGGCCATCTGTCCATCCTACCCATCCTTCCTTCCTTCCATCCATCCATCCATCCATCCATCCATCCATCCATCCATGTAGGCATGCATTCATATATCCTTTCATCCGTCCATCCATCCATCCATCCATCCAGTACTAAATGCCCACCCGTATGCCCAAAAGTGCTGTAGATGCTGAGATGCGATGATATGCAATCCAGACAAGGCCCTGCGCTCATGGAGCTTATGGGGAGGGACTTGAATAGATGGCCCACCTATGACACTGTTCCGAGACCCCCAGTGGATGCCAAACTGCAGATAGTACTGAACTCTATATATACCACGTTTTTTCCTTTACATACAGACCTATGAGGAAGTTTTAATTTATAAATTAGGCACAGTAAGAGAGAAACAATGACTAATAGGAAACTAGAACAATTATAACAATATACTGTAATAAAAGTTATATGACGGTGGTCTCTCTCGCTCTCTGATAAACAATTTGATAACTGAGATGGCTAGTCTGTGAGTAATGGGAGGGTGGCATATATGGCATAGATATGCTGGACAAAGGGATGATTCACAGCTCAGGCCAGACAGAGCAGGACTTCAGGATTTCATCACACTACTCAGAACGGCGTGCAATTTAAAACCTATGAAATGCTTACTTTTGGAATTTTCCATTTAATATTGTCAAACTGTGGAAGAACATGGGTAACTGAAACCAGGGAAAGTGAAACTGCAGGTGAGGGGGGCGGGCTACTGTAATGAAGTTAAAGACCTCAAGGTGAAGTCACCTTGTACAACGTCCTTATAAGAGACATGCAGAGGAGAGGAAAGGAAGGAGGAGGAGAAGCCCTGGAGGACGGAGGCAGAGACTGCAGTGATACAGCCACAAGCCAAGGAGATGCAGCCACAGCCAAGGAGCACCTGGAGCGATCAGCAGCTAAAGGCATGAAGGATTCTCGTCTACAGCCTTCGGAGAGAGCAGGATCCTGCTGACACCTTGCTTTCACACTTTTGGCCTCCAGAACTATAGAGAATAAATTTCTGTTGCTTTAAGCCACCCATCGCAGGTACTTTGTTACGACAGCCCTAGGAAACGAATGTAGTGAAATCCTGAACTGCCACTTACTGAGCAAGCGTGGGTAAATTGCTTAACCTCTCTGAGCCCACTTCCTCATCCACAAAACAGAACACGAGGATCCATCCTATTAATTCATCCAGCAGATGTTTGCGGAGTGTTTACTATGTGCAGGAGCTGGAAGTATGTGGTGAAGAAAACCGGGCATGGCTCTGCCCCCATGGAGCTTACGGTCTGAAGGGCAAGCCAGTTACCAAGCAAAGCAGCGTGCAGCGAGGTGTCCAACGGCAACCGTGGCTGACATCACACCGAGGCGTGCCAGGGCCTTTCCCTGGGAAGTGATGGCTGAGGGGAGGGATGAGGGGGAGGGAGAGAGCACCCGGGCAAGAGGAGCAGGACATTCTCCAGCCAGGGGAGGGGCACGTGCAAAGACCCATGGTGCCAGGAGCAGGGTGCACTCAGGGAGGCCGGCCTGGGAAGAGGGGAGGGCGTGCGTGGTAAGAGAGGAGGAGGTGAAGGAGCCAGCCCACCAGGAGGCAGCAGGGGTGGCCGTGGGTAGGAGCCAGGAGGCAGCATTGTCGATGTGCAGGAAGATCATCTGAGCTGCAGGGTGGAGGCCAAACTGATGGCAGGAAGACCCGTGAGGAGACCCCTGCTGTCATCCAGGAGGGGTTGATGGTGGCTCAGGCCAGGGTGGTGGGTGTAGATGAAGACGGGGCCGGATTCAAGAACTACTTAGGAGGTAAAACCACAGGCATTGCGAGGAATAAATGAAATAACCGCAAAGAAGTGCCACATAGTGCTTGGCACGAATGAAGTGCTCCCGGCTCCCCGACTGAAAGGGGTTCCCTTTCCTTCCTTGTACCAAAATGCCCACAGGAAACCAGGCCACCGGTGGCAGCCCATCACTGGCTTTACCGGGTGAAGACGAGCACCCACAATTTACAGAGCGTAGAAAACCAACTCACCATCCTTGAGTGAGAAGCTCAGCAGGTCCTGGGGAAAAATAGCAGAAATTGGCAATAAGTTGCTATGTAATCAGCCTGCTCATTTGACACATACGTATTGATTCTTACTAAGTGGGAGAGCAAGACAGACAATATCTCTGCCTCAGACTCTAGTGCTGAGCCAGACAAACAAGTAAGCAAACCAATGAGTGTGTGAGCATTCCAGCGAGTGAAACGAAGGAGAGGAAGGGCTGTTTTAAACCTGCTCAGTCGACCCACCAACAGCCCGTGTCCCAAGCTGCCTGTTTTAACTGCACACAGAGCCGGTGAGTGACATGGCCAAGGACACACAGCAAAGCTGCTGCTTCTGCACAAAAGCACCACAGCTTGGCCCCAGGAGCCGGGGCTCTGGAGTCAGAGTGGCAAGGTTCCAATCTGGGCTCAGCCACCTGCCAGCTGCCTGACCTTGAACAAGTTCCTTAATCTCCCTGTACCTCAGTTTTCTCATCTAGAAAATGGGAATGCTCACACCACCAACCTCCTAAAGTTGCTTTGAGAATTAAATGAGTTAATACTTGTAAAGGTACTAGCACGTACTAAACACTATTTAAGTAATACATTAAATCAATAGTAGATATTCACTAATGATCATTTAACATAGCTATGATGATGATCATCATACGATATTCTGATGAAGTATTTTATCTTCCAACTCCCCCACCCCCCTAGGAGCAGTTTTCAGCCTGACTTAGAAAACCATTTGTTCTGGTTCCCCTGGCAGCTGCCACCTGGTGGTGGGTGTACCTGGGTGATCACCAATGGGTCGTCCTTCAAGATGGGGTCCTTCGTTAAAATCTGAGCAAACATGTCTGCTCCTTCGCCTCCCAGGCCGCTGGCAAAAGCAGTCATGGTGGGCAGGACGGCTTCGGACAACTCCAGCCACTTCGCCAGGCCCGTCACAAACTCTATGCAGAAGGAGCTGAAAGACAAACACGATGCAGATCCGACAGCTTCCAGACTTGCACTTCAAGGCCATTGGGAAGCTTAGGTTAGTCACGTTCATGATGTGAACAGCCAACACACCCAAAACCATGGCGACTGCGGTCCACGGGAGACAGAGGAGCCAAAACCTAATTTCAGGTGGTGGGATTCTAGCTTCTTCCCCCACCAAACCTTTGACCAAAGAGGCTGGTAAACCATAGGAAGGAGGCCAGCGAGCCGTTCCTGACCATGTGCCCGGGGCCGGCCTGGGCCGGGGCTGTGCTGGGGGCCGAGGAGCCAGAGATGAGCGAGATGCAGCCTCTGATGAGAAGCTCACAGCGCAGGGCCACAGGGAAATAACAAAGTCATCCCAGTGGCGTGTGGTCTGCGAGGAGAGGGCAGGAATCGAGCCCTGATGAGCCCAGAGAGGGAGCCCCAGACCGGCCTGGGGAGGTGAGGAGCAGCGACTAGAAAAGGGTTCCCACAGAAGGAGACTGGCTGCTGTGGAGACCACCCAGGATGTGCTTTCTCGGGAAAAGTCGGCCACTCAGAAGCAGATAAAGCGCAGCGGACGAGTCTGTCCTCCCCATGCCCTCCGCCCCCGTGGGCCTCTCTCCACGGCAGGCATTGGGGTCCCACAGGAGTCCCTGGATGGAGGGTGGCTGGATCGCTCTAGGGGAGAAGGAGCCCTCGGAGCTGAGCATGGCTGCAGGAAGCACATGGCACTTTGGGGACAGAGGCAGAGTCTGCATCAGGCTTTGGCTCCAAGTTACCGCTCATGGCAGCGAGAATGGTGAGCAGCGGTGGGCGGGCAGGAGATGCGGAGCAGGGGCGTTAGTTAGGAGGTGATCACACCAGCCCAGAGTCAGGCCTATCTCTAAACCCAGCAGCCCAGCCTGCCTCGACCCCACTGTCCTGGGCTCCCTATACTGGGTTCTACTCCCCTAGTTCTAGCCAGATTGGGTGAAATCAGGCCTCCTAGGGACAAGCAGAGCTCCTTGATGGCAGGGACAATGTCAGAAGGCCTCCTGCTTGCACCACCTGGTCCCAGCCCCACGGATCCCAGGCAGCCCACCCATCCCAGTCCTTAGAGCTGGGGCGGCCGAAGCCGAGTGGAGAGATTGCTGCAGGCCAGGCCCTTGGCAGGAGCAGTGAAAAGCTCAGGTTCCAATCCTGGCCCACCACTGTGACAGTCCAGGTCCCCAGGAGGCAGCTCTGAAATGACTATTGGGATCCTCTTGGGATCAGTGCCTGTGGGAGGTCAGGGAGGATGCCGGAGGGGGCGGGGGAGCAGCGGAGTTGCCAGGCAGCCTCCACGGAAGCTTCAGGCAACCCTGCCGGGAGTTCTGAAGATGAGTGACCCTTCAGAGCTGCGGTGTGGGGCGAGGGCCGGTCATCGGATAAAGGCTGCCCCAGGGAGGGCAAAGAACCTTGGGCAAGGGGTCTCTCTTCCGCTGCCACAGGCCCGGGCGGTGCTGGGGGAAAGTCTTTCATTCTTTTTTATTTTTTTATTGATTTTTTACAGAGAGGAAGGGAGAGAGATAGAGAGCTAGAAACATCGATGAGAGAGAAACATCGATCAGCCCCCTTCCGCACATCTACTGGGGATGTGCCTGCAACCAAGGTACACGCCCCTGACCGGAATCGAACCTGGGACCTTTCAGTCAGCAGGTCGACGCTCTATCCACTGAGCCAAACCGGTTTCGGAGAAAGTCTTTCATTCTTAAAGGGGCATCTGAGCGATGGAGCACCTTGCAAAAGTAACTTGACTTCTCTGTGCCTCAGTTTCCTTATCTGCAATGGGTTTAAGAGATCAACTTCAGCCCTGGCCAGTGTGGCTCAGTTGGTTGGGCATCGTTCTGTGCACCAAAAGGCTGCTGGTTCAATTCCTGGTCAGGGTACATATATAGCCAGATTTGGGGCTCAATCCCCAGTAGGGGACGTGCAGGAAGCAGCTGATTGATGTTTTTCTCCTCTCTCTTCTCCTCTTCCTTCCTCTCTGTCTACAATCAGTAAAAACAGACTAAAAAAAAAAAGAGAGAGAGAGAGAGAGAGAGAGAGAGAGAGAGAGAAACTTCATAAGGTTATTTGAGGTTAAATGAGATGATACATATGAAGCACCCAGAGGAGGGCTTGGTATGGAGTAGCTGTTCAGCTTACGTTAGCTAGCGTCATTTCTTTCATTTATAAGCCGGCCAAGGGAGGCAGTGAACAGGGTGCAGAGTCAGGCACTACGGTCCCCTGGGAGAGTCCCCTTCATGTCTTTTCTTTGTCTCTCTTTTCTTCATTTTTCTCTGCTGTAAAATGCAGATGGTAAGCCCTAACCGGTTTGGCTCAGTGGATAGAGCGTCAGCCTGCGGACTGAAAGGTCCCAGGTTCGATTCCGGTCAAGGGCATGTACCTTGGTTTCGGGCACATCCCCAGTAGGAGGTGTGCAGGAGGTAGCTGATCGATGTTTCTCTCTCATAGATGTTTCTAACTCTCTATCCCTCTCCCTTCCTCTCTGTAAAAAATCAATAAAATAAATTTAAAAAAAAGACAGATGGTAATAGGACCTACCTCATAGGTTGGTTTGTAAAGATTAAATGACACGGTCACAGCGCCTGGCACCCGATAACCCTCAATAAATGTTAGCTACTGCTACTGCAATTATTATGATAGAACTTGCTGCAATTACTGGGGTTACCCGGGATGGTATGTGGGTGTGTACGGGGGCCAAGGGATGACTCGGTGAACTGAACAGCACTTAGGGGTAAACGTAACTGCAGAAAGGGCGCAGGGCTGAGGGCAGCAGCGTGGCCCTGTGTCCACGAAGAAGGTCTTGGATGCAGAGAAGCATCTCCTCACAAGAGTGGAGGCAAGTTAGGAGCATGAACTCTGGTGCACATCCCAGCTCTGCCACTAGCTGTGTGACCTTGGACAAGTTCCTTAACCTCTCTGGGCCTCAGTTTCTTTGTCTGTAAAACAGAGGTGATAATGACGAAATCTACTTCATAGGGTTGTTAAAATTTAACATTTGTCGTGTGTTTAGAATAATACCTGGCACATATAAGGCGCTCTATATGTGTTTCTTTAATGAGCAATACAACAACCTATCAAATAACAGACAGCATTTTAGACTGGCAGGGCCTCGGGAACTGCTTCTAAAGTGGTGGGTGGTCTCACTGAGATACAAGAAAATCAACAGCAGCGATGACAATCACAGAGCAACGATCCCTCATTCCCTATGCTAAGTGCTTTAAGCACACTGCCTGTTTCCTTCCCACCAATCCCCATGAGGGAGGGAGGCACTGCTTTCACCCCCATTCTAGATATAAGGACACCCAGACCCGGAGGGGTCATGGGACAGCTCCAGGGTTCAAGGCCACAACTGTCTGGCCCCAGAGGCCATGCTTACCCACTGCAGGGACTGCCCTCTCCAGGGATTACAGCCCTGGGCCTCACCCGGTGCCAGGCGCTGGCTGAGCGGGTGCATCCAACATTCCCTTTCATCCTCACCGAACCTCGCAGGGACGGCCCTGGGCCGCAGAGATTAAACGCCTTATCAAGGGCGCCACAGATGCGAAGGGCAGAGCTGCACCTGGGGTCCAGGAGCCTGAACTCGAGTCCAGAGCTCCTCCTACTCCCCAGGGGCCCGCACACCACCAGGCGGCCACATCTGGCCTGCAGCCCGTTCCGTAGATTAAGTTTTATTGGAGCAGTCAGTCACACCCGTTCCTTTACCGACTGTGTCGGGCTGCATTTAGGCTGCAACAGCAAAGCTGAGGGACTGGGGCAGAGCCCACACGGCCTGCAAGCTAAAATACCACATCCTCTACAGGAAACGTCTGTCGACCTGCTCTACTCATGCGTATCTCCGTGCTTAATAAATAGAATTAATCGTGGAAAACAGCGCCTGTGACATTTACAGCATGGTAAGAAGTATTTTAAAGGCTTGCTTTTATACCCCATGTGGACAACAACAGCCGCAGAGTGTTTTCTTAAGATTACTGAAGCCAACAGCTATAAGAAGATTGAGGCTGTCTTTAAAACGTGTTTTGGGCCCAGGAAAACCAAGATCAGCCATGTGGAAAGAAACCGAATCAGACACTCTCAGGAAGGAATGCCCCAAGGCAAATGCTTCCAGCCCCATGTGCTTAGAACTCATGGGGAAGGGGGGATGGGGGGAGACCCAGGACAATAACCCACTTTCCTATGTGCTCTCCTAGGCAAGTCCCCAGGCACAAGGGCGGGCCACACGTGTCTAGGGTTTATATAACATCTGGTTATTGTGACCAAAAGTACACCAGAGTTCTCTCCCTCATTTATAAGACTCCGGGCTTGCTTGGGAACAGAATATCAAATAAGACATAGTCTAATCTCCAGATAGAGCATGTGATTCCATTATTAATGATGGGAATATCCAATATTTGTTGGGCAGTAGCTCTGCGCCAGGCTCTGCGGGGCCACCCACACATTCCCTCCCCACGAGCACCCGCTCTGAGGATGCTGCTTCTCTGAGGCAGTAACTCCCCAGCAGAGCCCACCTCTCATGTGGAGGTTAGGAATGGCAAGTGCCTTGATTTTTCCCCAGCGCCGCCCCCCACCCCCACTGCAGGTGAGGCTTGGGCAAGTGACTGGATCTAGCCAGAGCCTTCTTGGCATATTCTGGGAAAGATTTCCTCCCTGATGAGAGAGACTTGAGGGGAATCCTGGCCCTCCTCCTTTGTGTCTTGGGCCTTTTCCTGTGAGGATGCGATGTGTGGAGCTGCAGCAGCCATGTTGTTGTGATCAGGAGGGGAAGGCCAAGAGATGGAGAGAAGCCAACCGAAAGGCTTTCTGAGACACTGAATCAAGCTTTTTGATTTCCTATTGAGGAGGGAAAAAATCTATTCCCTAAATGAGCTCAGATCTATTCCCCGTCTATTCTTTAAATCTCTTTTAGTACAGTGTCCTGTTACTTGCAGCTCCAAATACCCTGACTGGTAGAAGTAAGTTCATCCATTTTACAGATGAGGGAACTGGGGCAAATACAGTAAGTCCCAGAGTTAGCAAGTAACCAGTACATTTATTGAGCACCTACTATGTGCCGGCACTGTGCTACATTATCTCATCTAATCCGCCCCCCCCCCCCGCCATTTTATATATATATATATATATATATATATATATATATATATATATATAACTGTGTAAGTTTAAGGGATACAGCATGATGGTTTAACTTACATATATTGTGAAATGATTACCACAATAACTTTAGTTGGCTTGCAGCACCTCATATAAATACAATAAAAAGAACAAGTGTTTTCCTTTCGATGAGAACTCTTAGGATTGACTCTTTTAACGACTTTCCTGTGTATCACACATCAGTGTTGACATAGTCATGCTGTATATTACATTCTCAGTACTTATTTATCTTGTACAAAAGTTTGTACCTTTTGACCACCTTTCTTCAATCATTTAATTCTTGTAATCACCCTGCAAGGGTGAGTATTATTAGCCCATTCTGTCAGACCTAACAGTTAGGTTTGAATCAGTCCTAACTGTTACACATTTAGAATCCCTCCACCTCTCGGTCACTGTCCTGGTTTCCCCAATGACTCCATCAGCCTCCTCACTGGCCTCCTCCCGCCTCTAAACTCTTTCCCCATAGAATCCTTGAAGCCCTTCAAGGCCAAAGCCTGAGCTCTTAACAAGTCTGCTATTAGAAATTTAAATATACATCTAATGCACGTGCTAGATATTGACAAAGGCAGATACTAACACTGTGAATTACTGTCACTCTTTTGCTCCCATGACACCCCATCTGTCCGTTATTACAATCAGTCAGGTATGTACCCTCCCTTTAATTACTCTTCTTTGTTTTATCTACAGCAAGCATGTCAAACTCGTGGCCTGCGGGACGCATGCAGCCCACAACAAATATTTTTGCGGCTCAGCCAATATAACGGTATGTAAGAAACGTTTTAATAAAAATTTCATAACTTAATTTTTACAATATCCTGTTATACATAATTATTAATAACGAACTACAACGTTCGCTAATGACTGATTACTATAATCATGTTGCATTTGTTTCCCTTATGCACCTTATGCGCAGGCGCACCATTTCTCTCCACTAATACTAGCAGCGAATATTTTAGCAGCCGATCGCCACGTCATTAGTCTTGTACTGACTTGTTTGGTGTGCGCAACAGGAAATATTTCGCTTTCAGAGAACAAGAAAAATAGGTTTATTTGCATACGCTTATTAATTTGTGCAGTTATTCAGTGTCTGGTAAGTTAATGTTCAAGAAAATATTAATTTTTATTAAAATGTTCTATTATTTTATGCTAATGATTATTCATTTATTTCAGCCCTTTGTATTCAGCATGTCTCTATCGAAATAAACCTACGTTACTACGAAAATTGAAGCTTTTGGGTTTTTTTGCGGCCCACATAAACTTAAACCTTGTTTATTTGGCCCGTATTAGCCTTTGAGTTTGACATGCTTGAAAAGGGTCTTGTGGACACACAGCACACAGTAGGAATTCAATAAGTGCATGTCACATGAATGAATAAATATCTCATTCCCCTATTAAACTGTGTCATACCTGAGGGCAGGGATTCTGTCTGCCTTGTTCATCTATACCTTCCATGTACTTCAAATGATGGCTGGCACACAGTAGGTGCTCAGAAAATGCTTGGTGAAAGTATGCGTGAGTGAGTGCTGAATGAGATGTCATATCCCCCTATCAGGCTGTGAGCGCCTTAAAGGCAAGGACAATGACTTTCTCCTTTTTATAGGGTCCCACAATACATTGTAGGCTGCTTGGTGCCTCTGAGGAAGCAGGACCTTCCCTCTGTGGGGCAATAGCACTCACCTTTGCTCAGGTTCTGGAAATAGCTGGGACAGGGATATGCCACAGAGGGCGGCATAGGCAAAGCGGTTGGCCTCGGACAACTCCCGACCCGTGGGCAGATGTGGGTCCCCCTCCACAGCTGGCTCAGCCTCCTGATGCAGCCTGGGGCTGGATCTGTCCCATGTGGCCATTTCCAGTCCTGCAGGAAAGAAATCCAGTGAGCAATGCAGCCAGGGGTAGGCAAAGGTTACTTAATGGGACACAAAAATTATCAACGCTGAGAGAAAAGATTGATAAATCAGCCTCATTAAAATTAAGAACTCCATCATCTTCAAGAAAGTGAAGACATACCAAACACTAGTAGGAGATATTTTCAATTTAGAGGCTGCGGTAATTGTGCTAATTACCCAAGACGGTGTTTTATTAGGCTGATCTCTAGGGAGGCCCACATTGGTTTTTAGTTCAAGATTAAACAACCTTGCCCGGCTGGTGTGATTCAGTTGGTTGAGTGTCGACCCATGAACCATGAGGTCAGTGGTTGGATTGCTGGTCAGGGTGCATGCCCGGGTTGTGGGCTTGATCCTCCTCAGGGGCTTGCAGGAGACAGCTGATCAATGTTTCTCTCTCTTAGATGTTTCTACCTCTCTCTCCCTCTTTCTCTAAAAATCAATAAAAACATATTTTTAAAAAAGAATAGCCCTGACTGGTTTGGCTCAGTGGATAAAGTGTCGGCCTGTGGACTGAAGGGTCCCAGGTTCGATTCCAGTCAAAGGCATGTACCTTGGTTGCAGGCACATCCCCAGGAGAGGGTGTGCAGGAGGCAGCTGATCGATGTTTCTCTCTCTATCCCTCTCCCTTCCTCTCTGTAAAAAATCAATAAAATATATTTAAAAAAAAAAAGAATAAACAACCTTCTAATCAGAGAAGCATGAGCTGGCCTGCTTCTAACCACAAGGGAGAGGGGTATATACAGGGGGCAAAAGTAGGTTTACAGTCATGAGCACTCGAAACTCAGAGTTTATTTTGTACTATTATTTAGTAATTATTGTACTATTTTATATATGAACAACTGTAACCCCCCTCTCCCCCTCGCCCCCTGTCCGGGGCGACAAATCAGCGGAATAAATGCTGTGAAGGAGGAAATACATATAGAGGGGTAAAAAGAAGGGGCCTGGAACATAGAATTGGCTTCCTGGAGAAGGTGGTGTCAGATAGGGGTGGGGTGGGGTGGGCAGGAAGAACATGTTCTGGGCAGAGGGGATAGCACATGTCGAGACCCAGAGGTAGAAGGGAGGAAATGCTTTTTAAGAATCATGAAGATGCTCAGTGCAGCCAGGGTTTGAACGAGTGGGCGTGGAGGGGTAGATGAGGTTGGAGGGGATGCTACCAGGGCCACACCCTGGCCGACCAAGTTCTCCCAGCTAAGGAGCCAGACTTAATTGTAAGGCCACGGCCATGCGGGGAGCTGTGAGGATATGCAGGACCTCCCCATACTATTTTTACGACTGCCTGTAGTCTATAATTATTTTAAAATAAAAAGTTAAAAAATAAAAAGCAGTGGGGTGTCCCTATAGAATCTGAAAGACCTTTTCTTAAGGTCTAAGTAAACTAAAACTAAAAATTCACCACCTCCCAGAATTAACCAGTGAGTTAATTTAATAAACACGTATCGCCCTATTATGTGCCAGGACTGTCCTGCATGCTGGGGACACAGCGGGGATTAAGACAGACAGACAACAACCCTCCATCACGGAGCTACATTCTAGGGGGCAGACAACAATGTGTAAACTCAGAACATTTACAATAAGACCATTTAAAAAACAATGATGAGGGTTCTGAAGGGACAGAAACCTTAGATAATATTTACCCAGATTTCAAGAAACAACTGTGGGCCTCCCCTCAAGGTCTCAAAACAGCTGTCAGCTTCTGGATGGTTCTTCCTTCTGGGAAATATGCAAATTGTCCTTCTGGGAAATATGCAATTGTCCTGGAGGCGCAAACCAGAAAAACCAGCCTGCGGTCCACAGGGTGTGGAGTCTGGAGGCCTATGGGAGACGGGGATCCGGTTCCCCAGGCTCAGGAAGCCTTGCTACTACTTTCCTCTGGGCCTTTGCCCCCCAGGTCTCGCTACCTGGGATGCCTTTCTCAGTAGGGCTGCAGGCAGCCCTGGACTTTGCTGGAACTGTCTGTTCTAACTCCTCGTGCCCTGAGCTGTGGTTGCTGCACTAACTCCTTGGTTAGCCTGGTAGTAGAGGCCAGGAACCTGATCCCTCCATTCCCATGCCCAACGCTTACCTTCCATAGACTGCGTGATCAGAAAATGCCTCCTACGTGAATGAATGAATGAATGAACGAACTAGTTTTGGGGGCTTAAGCAAGAGCTAGATTTTCCTGGTTATTTCTCTCCTATTCTTACCCTCCCATTGAGCATCAGATGAAGGACAGAGATGGAACAAGGGCCAAGTGTCTGGAATGACCCAGGGATATCCCAGAACCCCAAACCCAGGGTTCCCCAAAGCTTCAAATAACCTGAACTTCATCCTAACGGCCTGTTTTCATTCCAAGGAACTACAATATTATTTTCTGCCTCTTTAAGCCTCCGGAGGGTTTTTAGTAAGTTATCAGTGATAACACCCTTCCGCTGGATGTTCACCTTCTATGGGGCATAGGAATGTGCCTGTACCAAGCCCTACAAACTCAGAGAATCAAGCTACGAGTCCAACCATCTGAAAAAGTGCAGAGAAGAAAAATGGCTGGGAGAATATCCTCCAAGATTATTTCCCAAGTTGAGATGCCAGAGACTTCTCTGGATTCCCCAACTTTCTGCCATTTATATGCACTACTTTTGAACTTAGGAGAAAATTAAAATTATTTTATTTATGTCTCTATCCATAGGCAAGGGGACTGTTAGGAGTTGCATCAGGATGGTGACCGTGGCTGTCTCTAAGCAGGGGGAAGGATTGATTCTGGATTATTTTAAATTTTCCTTTTACTTTTCTGCTTTACGAATTTTTAATCATGAATACGTACTGATTTTAAAATCAGGAAAAAATAGACACGATTTTAAATTATAATAGGGTGTGCTGCTACAGGCTCCTACTGGCTGGTGAGAAGTGAGGCCAGTGCCTGGAAACAGGTCACGACGGGAGTCTTTACACCACAGAAATTGGCAATTGTTACCAATGAGGGATTTTATTTTTCAGAGAGGTGGTGAAGAGCATGCCACTGTCTATGTGATACAATTCCAGTTGTTTTTAAAAACTGTTTCATGGAGCAAGAAGATCATAAGGAAATACATCAAAATGTTCATGATCATTGTCTCTCAGTGGTAGGGCTGTGGGACAAGAAGTAACTGGTTTTTGTTCTTTCCATTTTTCTGTATTTTTAACACTTTCTGTCACAAGCTTATTGGTGCTTTTATCATAGAAAAAATAGCTTTAATTAAAAATGGCAATTCTGTTCTTGATCTCAGAAAGTCCTGGCCCTGTGCGGACCAGCCAAGCCTTGTAGGGCTGAGGTCACAGTTACTAGTAAGTCCCATTCCTCTAACCAACAGGTTTTGTTATCAACAAAAAGGATAAGGATTGGCAGGACAGACAGGAATTTCCAGCCATCCACGATGGTGGGATGGAGGTGCCCAGGGTTCCAACTCTATGGACTGTCCAGTCAGATGGGCTGGGCCCCAAACTATTCCAGCTGTGGGAGTGTGTGGCAGCTGTGGGGTAAGGGGATGTGCCAACTGAACTGCATACTGGTCCTCAGGGGTCTCTGCCCCTTGGTCTGATCAGGATATGGTCACCAAGACACCAAGGCCTGCACTTGACCCTGAAGAGCCATGACTCTCAGGGAAACAACAAAGACACAGTGAGAAGAGCAAGCGAACACTGACCCGTGGCCAAACTGCAAAGACCAGCTATGGGATGGACAGGGACTACTCTGTATAGGACCTTGTTTTGATGCCCTACGACTATGATTTTTGCCAGTCACATTACCCGTCACCAAAGAAAACACTGGCTGCGTTATTTTTGTCAGAAGTGGGGGTAGACAGACATTCCACAAATATCTATCCTTAGTCTGCAAGCACCCACAGTAGGTGTTCAGCCAGTGTTTGTTGACTAACGCCATAAACAATACGTGGGGTTTCTTCTCAGGAAGATGAAAAATTCTGAGGTCAGCATCGAGGAGAGAATCAAATATGATCAATATCATCCTTGAAAATCTTTTCAATCGCCCTTAAAACCCCATGACCTGGGTCCTTAGAAGATCACATGCAAGAATAAATTACTTTTGTTTTTCTTACATGCTACACTGATGGGCTTTATTTTACTTTTTTTGAACTTGGAGCAGCCAGTGAAGGCCAACGACAAATTTGATGTGCCTGTGCCTATGTGTATGTGTTGTTCTCTTTCTCGTTTCTGGTTAACTGCATTTTTAAATGAGTCTGCAGTACAATAAAACGAGCATTTCTACTAGAGAGATGGCTACAGTGTCACAGGAAGGCCGAGAACTAATTGTCTAATTGTTCTGGAGCCAAGGAGAAGGAAAGCATCTAGTTGAAGAAATCCTTTATAAAAAAATAGAGCTATAGCACTGATTTCAGCCAGAAACTCCGAAGACTGTAGATCAAAGTTCACACACACACACACACACACACACACACGAGATGGTCTCAGAATGGAGGATTCGAGGCAGGCCCAGTTTACTCCCCATTCCCCTTGCCAGCAATTTGGGAGAGAAACCCATTCATTCCATACCTCTATCTGGAAGTTAAGTTGGAAGCCACTGGTAAATGCAGGATCTCAGGAGGTCTCCATGGCAACAGATCCCATTGAGGAGAACCCAGAGGGTTTTGGACAATCCCACTACACCTTAGAAGAAAAAAGGAATGTTGGCACAAAAAGTTCCCATCCCAGCCTCACTCAGCAATGTGGAGGACGGGCGGGGTGCTGGGGTGACAGGATGCCACCAGGGTGGGTACCCAGGCTCCATAACATTTTGTCCCCATTTATCATGTGCCTTCTTCCCCGACTCACACACAAGCTGCCATCATCTCTCTGGCAGGAGCCTCCACCCCAGTCTCCCACTTCTTTTTGCCCTCACCCCTAGCTATCCACCACACAGCACCCAGCCTGAAGTCAGATCACGCCCCTTCTCTGCTACAAACCTCTGACTCCCTCCTCACCCCTGGGCCACGTGCAATCTGCCCTCCTTCTTCTGTCCCCTTCGCTCATTCTGCTCCAGCGACACCATCCTGGATCCCATCAGGCACATTCCCACCTCAAGGCCTTTGCCTTGGCTGTCCCCTCTGCTGGGTACACTCTTCCCCCAGATAACCACATGGCCAACTCCCTTACCCCCTTCCAGCCTTGGCTCAAATCTCACAGCTCACTGAAGCTACCCTGTCCCAGCCCCTCATCCCAGGCCCTTTTACCTGGCTCTTTGCTTGCTCCGGAACACACATCACTGTCTGACACACTATGTCATTTACTTGTTTATGTTTATGGCTTATTGTCTACCTCCCTCTGCCCACATGTAAGCACACAAACATTTGTTGAATGAATAGTGGTTTCCACTTGGGATAATTAAAAAATAATTCAAGAGGCAAATCTGCCTGGGAAGCCAGGGGGAGAAATGGCACTGTCTATAATGGTCCATTTGACTCCCTGGTTTTCAAACTGTTCCATAGGGCTCCAACACCCTGCCTTCAAATTATAGCTGTAAATAATTCCTGGGTGTCGACCTCAGAAAATTGACAGCAGGGTCTCAAAAAGGGTGTACAGCAAGGTGTACAAATACGTTCACAGCAGCATTATTAACAATAGCTGAAAGATGGAAGCAACCCAAGTGTCCATCAATGGATGAATGGGCAAACAAAATGTGTTCTCTATATACAATGGAACATTACTCAGCCTTAAAAAAGGAAGGACTTTCTGACATATTACAACATGGGTAAAATTCAAGGACATGTTGCTGAGTGGAATCAGCCAGTCACAAAAAAGACAAATACTCTATGATTCCACTTATATGAGGGACTCAGTCAAAATCAATAGGGGCAGGAAGTAGAATGGTGGTTACCACAGGCAGGAGGGAGGGGATGAGGAGTTGTTGTTTAATGGGTAGGGAGTCTCAAACCTGCAAGTTGAAAAGATCTGGAGATTGGTTGCACAACAATGTGAATATACTAACGCTAACTACTAAATTATACACTTAAAAATCGGTTAAGACTGAATTTTATGCTGTGTATTTTAATCACAATTAAAATTTTAAAAAAATATATTTTTTAATTTCAGAGAGGAAGGGAGAAAGAGATAAAAAATCAATGATGAGAATCATTGATCAGCTGCCTCCTGTACGCCCCCTATTGGGAATCAAGCCCGAAACCCGGGCATGTGCCCTGACTGGGAATGGAACCGTGACCTCCTGGTTCATAGATCAACGCTCAACCACTAAGCCATGCCGGCCGGGCAATAACAATTAAATTTTTAAAATTAAAAATCATAACAGCAAATGCTTGGTAAATGTTAGTCATGTGCCACCTCTTTTCACACATCATCTTGTTTTCTCCTAAAAATCCTACAGTGTAGGTGTTATTATCTCCAGTTTACAGATGCAGACAGAGAGGCCCTGAGAAATGAAGGTCAAGGTCATGGGACATGTGATGTGGAATTTAGACTTGTGCCTGGGTCTTAGGCCTAAGGCAGCCATCTTAACTATGATGCTACACTGCTTCTCTTTGGCCAAGTGGCCAGAAAGATTTCAAACACAATTTGAAAACCACCAAATTAGATGTATCTCAGTAGCTCCCATCTGTCCACAGGCTAACATCTCATTTTCAGCCAGCCCCAAGCATCTCTGTGATGGGCCTAATCTGCCTTTTCACCTTTATTTTCCTTTACTCCCCTTCTTCCAGCCAGCTGTGAGCCAAACTGAGCCACCACTGCTTCCAGCCCATGCTGGGTTTCCCACCTCGGGCCTCAGCTTGTGCTGTTTTTCCTGCGTGTAGATCCTCATGTCCAAATGGTGCCCTTTCCCAAAAGCAGTCTAATAATAAAATCCGTGAATATTTCCAGTGGGTTTACTCTCATGACCCCATGTCAGCCTCACAACAACCTTACGAGGAAGACTACCACTGTACCCATTTTACAGATGAGAAGACTGAGGCTCAGAGGTGCAGGCCGCACGGCTAGCAAATGGCAGTATCAGGATGTAGCCCCCAGGCTTGTGCGACTTCAAACCCAGGTTCTTCCCCACTTTACTGAAGGGGCGCAGGTACTGCCATGAGACTTGGCGGATTTGTCCAGCTAAAGTGGGGCCTGCCACCTCGGAAGCCCCTGAGGCTTCGTCTGGGCCACCCCACCTCCTCTCGGGTTTAATGACTGGTGGCTTCTGTGCCTGTTCCCATGACTAGGAGGGTCAGGGTAGCAGTGGATGATGCTGGGACATCTGGACTTCCCCCAACTCCCCAGCAGAGCTCTCTTGGTACTCATTTGGGTCTAAAACAGGGGGTACCACCACTTCCCCTCCCCCAGAGATAGGTGACTTTTCTTTATGGAATTTGCCACCACTTGATGATGGATTACAGCTCTTTGGTGGTCTGTCTCCCTCCCGAGGGAAAGCTTCATGAGGGCAGTGGCTTTTGTATCATGTTCCCGGATGTATCCTGGAACAGTGCCTGGAGAGTAGGTGAAAGATCGAATGAATAAACACCTGCCCCCACAACTAAGAAATAACTTCATTATTATTTTTTGCTGAAGGACAATACAGTTTTGTTTGTTTTGTTAATCCTTACCCGAGGATATTTTCCCCCCACCGATTTTTAGGACAGTAGAAGGGATTGGGAGAGGGAAACATCGATGTGAGAGAAATACATCGATTGGTTGCTTTCTACACGAGCCCCGACCAAAGCCTGGGATGGGGAAGAGCCTGCAACCTAGATACATGCCCTTGACCAGAATCGAACCCAGGACCCTATGCTCTAAACACTGAGTCAAAGCAGTTAGGGCAATACAGTTTTATATAAAGTGAGGTCCCTATATTTGCTCAAGAGCTACCCCTAAAGGTAGATTTCATTACTGAGCATCTCTCTAAGCGAACTTGGACCAGCCCCAGAAGGCCTGGGAGCTATGGTCCAGGTGGAGTACAGGGTACAGGCAGAAATTACTCCCAGTGAAGACTGTATAAATCCACCTGAGCTAAACCTCCCACGTATGTCCCTGGGACGTCTTGTGACCTGTGGTACTAGTGTAGTTTGGACTCAGATCTGAAGGATGAGGAGGTGTTAACTAGGAAAAGTGAGACAGGGAGGAGGAGTGGTCTAGACGAGCATGGGCAAAGGCTCGGGGGAGGAAGGGAGCCGTGTGCCTCAAGCACAGAGGGCCATTGATAACGTGCTCAGAGACAGGCTGGAGGAGGCCCAGCGTAGGTGGGGCCCAGGCTGTGTAGAGCCTTGTGGTCCATGCTAAGGCTTTTGTTCTTCACCCTAAGAAAATGCGCAGGTGCAGCAGGGTTTTACACAGAGGATGGTACAATCAGATCCAGCGGAGGGTAGTTAATTGGAAAGAGCATTGGCCCTAGCCAGTTTGGATCAGTGGATAGAGCGTCGGCCCGCGTGGACTGAAGGGTCCAGGGTTCGAATCTGGTCAAGAACACATACCTTGGTTGCAGGTTCCCTGGCCCTGGTTGGGGTGCATGCAGGAGGCAACCAATCGATGGGTCTCTCTCACATTGATGTTTCTCTTTGTTTCTCCCTCTCCCTTCCACTCTCTCTAAAAATCAATGGAAAAATATCCTTGGGTAAGGATTAACAACAACAAAAACACAAACTATAAAAAATAATTTAAAAAAATTAAAAGAAAGTGGTTTGGACCCACTCCAGCCCCCCTCTGCCCACTATCCCACATCCAAGGCAAAGGTGCCCCCCATCTCATCTGAGACCCCAGTTTACAACGTACAGCAGTCCTCTCAGGTCCCACATGTGCAGGCCCAGGTGGCTGAGCAACCATTGTCACCTGGTGGTTACCAGGGCAGGGACAGCTGGGTTCAGGCAGAGAAATTCGGCAGGCTCAGACCTCGATAAGCTTCACACGCTGAGCTATGTCACCTAGTCAGTCACCTGCGCCCCTCCAACCGCTCCTGGGCCTTAGGCCTAAAACGCAAAAAGGGTCCGCGAGCGGCAGACACTGCACAGGGCTCTTTGTGGCTCCTTCCATCCTCATGACAACCTTGGAGACAGGCATTTTACAAATGAGAGCACTGTCCAAGAGGACTCAGTGAGGAAGCCACAAAGCTGGGACCTGAGCCCACATCTGTCTGATGCTGCACGCAGGACTGTCAGGGTTGCAAATGCTACCGTGCTGACTGTGATGTGAGCATTCCACTTCTAGTGCCGGGCGGCCTCCTCGCCTGGAACTCAGCCACCCCCATCGCTGCCTCTTACATCTTCTTACTGAGAGCAGAAACAGGTTATCCGCAGGGTTCCTAGAGCCTCTAAAGCCGCGGTTGCCAACCGGTGGTCCGTGGACCACTGGTGGTCCGTGAGGTCAGAAAGGTTGGTGACTGCTGCTCTAAAGAAACACCCTAGCTTACACCTGACTTGACAGGGCCTCTGACACAGGCCACGCTTTGGATTGTGCTTTATTTACCATTTAGGAAGCATTTTGACATAGTATCATCAGCTCTATGAAGTATTATGACCCCCACTGTATTCGAAAGCAAAGGCCCAGAGAGGTGGCGTGACAAGATCACACAGCTAGGAAGTGGCAGTGCCAGGCTGCCAGGCGCTGAGGTTTGGTTTGGGGCTTCCTTTGGACCACTCCCTACCCACCTAGCCCCCTCACCCCCAAACCCCTGGGAGTGGGGTGAAAGCTCAGGCTGGCAGAGCATCTCCAACAAGCAAGGGTCAAAGGCTCAGAGGGCTGGAGGCTGTGAGATTCAGTCTTTCTTTGTCCTCTTTACGTACTTCACAGGGTGGGAAGATTCCAATGGTCTCTCTTCTCTGCCCAGTCTCTCCTGCCCCCCCCCCCCATACCCACCCCCTCACCCTCCACTGAAGGGCAGTGTTCTAGTCCACTCTTTGGGGTGTACTCCTGGAGGGCGGCACTTGTCTGCTCACTGCTGTATCCTCAGGGCCTAAACAATGCACACACCAGCACACAGTAGGTGCTCAATAAATATTTGCTGAATGAATGAATGGATGCCCCTAAAGGGGTTTCCTGTTTTCTGCAGTGAAATGAACACTGGATTAGGAAAAGGAAAACTAACCTGTTGACTCCTATTCTGTGTTAGTCAGTAGCCTCTAGGCCAGCGGTTCTGAACCTGTGGGTCGCGATCCCTTTGGGGGTCGAACGACCCTTTCACAAGAGTGGCCTAAGACCATCAGAAAACACATATATAATTACATATTGTTTTTGTGATTAATCACTATGCTTTAATTATGTTCAATTTGTAACAATGAAATTGGGGGTCAACCACAACATGAGGAACTATATTAAAGGGTGGCGGAATTAGGAAGGTTGAGAACCACTGCTCTAGGCCAAGACCCTGGCTCTAGCCTGGCTGTGTGTGACCCAGGGCAGGGCAGAGAAGGGCACTGTGAAGGCCTACTCTGTGCCAGGCACTGGGTCAGGCTGCAGGGTGGGGGAACCCAGGTTCTTATCCTGTTCTCCCTTGCTGTGTGGTCTTGGGGAAATCACCCCATCTCTCTGAGCCTCAGTTTACTGAGCTGTAGAATCCACCCTAAAGTCAGTAGCAGCAATTCTTCCCTCCTCTAACAACCGATGCTGGGTGAGGAGTCAGGCCGGCCTGTAGCTCTGGGGGCCTGCGCCTTTCTGCAGTTTGAGGGTCTGCTATGAGCGCAGAGGCTACAGGGGCAAGGAAAGAGGGGGTGGGGGGTGCCGGGGGAGCTGCGTGGGAACAGGGAAGCCCAGGGTGACCTTGAGCGAGTACCTTCTCCTCCCGGGACCAGAGCAGTGGCCTCACTCACCAAAGGAGGAGCTGGGTGCCAGCTAAGGCTAAGGAGCTGGGAGACAGGAGCCGGCCCCAGCGCTCCGCCACGCCTCAGTTTCCCCAGCTGCCTCCCCACGTGATTTCTAAGCGCACTTCCGGCTCGGAAAGAAAACAAGCAACAACCAGGCAGCCTCGGCTCAGGGCACTCCCGGTGGACCGTCGCCCCCGAGGGCGAAGGGCGGGGCGGGGGCAAAGGGCCGGAGCTCCCGCGTGGGCTCGGGGGTGTCGGCGGGGAGTGGCTTCGGGGGGCCTGGCCCCTTACCTGGACGGAAGCGGGGCGGAACAAGGGGAAGGGGGCCGTCCCCTGGCCCGGCCCCGCCGCCCCGGGCTGGCCCCGGCCGGTCCCGCCGCCCGCCCCGCGGCGCCTGCCCGGCCGCCTGGGGGACGTGCGTTGGGAGCCGGGCCTCCCGGGCTCCAGCCCCACCCGGCTCGTCCCGCCGCCACCCGCACAGGGGTGCCGGCGTCAGGGAAGTGACGGGCCAACCCCGGCGCGAAAACTCGGGCTGTGGGTGCATTGCCCTGCGGGAGGGCGCAGGCCCTGCGGGCTTGTCTGCAGAAAGTGCTTAGGAGACGCTTAAGGAGGGGAGGGAGGGCTGAGCAGCGATTGGATGGAAATCTTCCCAAGTAAATGATGGAAAATCAAATAACCAGCCACAGAAACACCCTTCCCGGGCACATGGACTTGGAAGCTGATGGATGTAGAGATAGCCATGTGTTCGCTGATTTTTCTTTCGGTTTCTCTAACGCTAACTTTCGTTCAGTCTTAGGACCTTTGCACTTGTGGTGCCCGTGCCTGGCACTCTGCCCCCAGACCTTCCTCTTCCTGCGTCTGTTTCCAGCTCTTCCCTGCAGGGTCCACTCAGGCTGGCATCTGTGAGTCTTCCCTAACCACCCAGCACGCTCAGTCATTGAACACGTTTACTGAGCACCTACTATGTGCCAGCTACTGTTCTCTAAGAGCAGGGGAATCACATACCAGGCTTCCAGTCCTGTTCTATTTAATCGTAGTATTTCTGACTCTGCGGAATGACCTTGTTCATTTTCAGTTTGCACTTTATTATCTGCCATTCGCACTAGAACTTAAAAGCCCAGAGAATGGGGGTCTTGGCTGCCTTGTCCCCTGCTATGTGCCCAGCCCCAGGGGCTGTGCCAGGCACTTCATAGGTGCTCAGAGTCATGAATGGATCTTATTCACTTAGTGACTATGCATTCTTATCATACCCATTCTACAGGACAGGAAACTGAGGCTCAGGTCTAGGCCATGCAGAAGCCACAGAGCTAATGAGTGCCAGAGCAGAAGCATGAATCATTGCAGTTGCAAAGGCTGTTGCTCTTTCTCTCAGTGACAGCCCAGTACCTTGAATGGAAAGGCTGTGGGTGGGTCAGGGACCAGCTATCACTGTGGAATCTGTGACTCATGCATGCCTTGTAGAATGCTCTGGGTCTTCCTCTGCTCATCTCCTCACCGGCCAATCAGGGCCAAGAATCGCTCTGCCTCCCTAGAGGGCTATTGTGAAGGTCAACTGGGTCAGTGGTGTGCACCCTTCAGGGGCAGAGGGAGTTGTATCTGAGCATGTGGGCCTTGTCAAGATAGGACATTAGTAACCCTATGGAAGCGATGCCCACAGAAAGCCTCCAGCCAGCCCTCCTCTCAGTGTCTGGAGGCCCCTTCCAGCCAGATTGGCTTTGTGGAACCAGGCGCCGTTCTGCACAATGTCTTGGCTTTGCCCTGTCTCTAATTCGGTTCGAGATCCTGTATTGAACACTCTTGACTTTGGACATTGGATCCAGTTACAGCCACGCCCGCTGCCCACCCGGCACCCCAGTCACCCCCACCAAATAGCACACAGGACCTAATCCATACCAGGCTTCGGGTCTGCCTCTTGTCCTGCGCAGCCAGCCCCGAGGGCGCCTGGTGGACACTCGTCCGGAGCAGGGCCTTCCGGGAAGGTTTATCCCTCCCGTGTATGCCTTTGAAATTTTTGAGGTTTGGTGTTGGACTTTGAAAATGTTACTTTCCTCATCCCGAAAAGTAGGGTCACTATCCCTCTCACAAGGGTTGTTGTGAGGACCACATGAGGATATACAGCTAAGGGGCTCTGAGTGGTGTCTGGCACACAGGACACATGCAATAAAAATTAGCTGCTGTTATTCTTGGTAAAAGATACTTCTTCTAAGATGTCTCCTATCAACTCCTCCCAAAGGAATGTAAGGGTTGTGTTAGACGCAGCGGTTATCAACCTGTGGGTCGCGACCCCTTTGGGGGTCGAACGACCCTTTCACAGGGGTCGCCTAAGACCATTGGAAAACACATATATAATTACATATTGTTTTTGTGATTAATCACTATGCTTTAATTATGTTCAATTTGTAACAATGAAATTGGGGGTCACCACAACATGAGGAACTGTATTAAAGGGTCTCGGCATTAGGAAGGTTGAGAACCACTGTGCTAGAGGAAGAAGCCTTTTCATAACCATGAACAAAACCGCCCAGAATTTATTGAGTAGCAGGTGAGGTTGTAGGCATTGCAGATACAGCAGGAGGAAGGCGAATGCTTGGGCCAAAATTGCCAGATTTAACAACAACAAAAAAAACCCACAAAAAAACAGGACACCCAATTACATTAGATTTTCATACACAACAAATAAATACTGTTTTAGTAGGAGTATGTCTTAATATTGCCAAGGACATGGTTATACTAAATTTAATGAATATAAATTATTCATTGTGTATCTGAAATTTAAATGTAACTGGTGTTCTATATTTTATCTAGCAACCCTACTTGGGCCCCACCCCCAGAGATTCTGATTCTGCTGGTCTGGGGTTGGGCCGGGCATAGGTATTGTTCACAAGTTCATCGGGCATTCGCATGTGTGCCCAGTGTCAGGAACCACTGATGGAGGGCCTGTCTATGCATTTTATTCTGCATGAGATGGTCAATTGTGGAGGGTTGGGGGCAGACATGTGACATGATCTCATCTTTTAAAAGGATCTCAGTAATAGACACAGGTAACCAGTTAGGAAGCTGTCGTAATAGTCTAGGCCAGGAAGGGGCCTGGGTTTGTTGAGCGCCTACTATGGGCTAAGCACAATAAGAGCATATAATGGAGACATAGGTTCTTGGGTTCTGCCCAGACCTACCCAGTGTAGAATTTCTTGGGGGGTATGGAAGCCTAGGAATTTATACATTTAACAAGTTTCCCTGGGAAAAGAAGAAGAAACAATAACAACAAGTTCCCTTGGTGAGTCCAGTGAATAATCAGATTTGGAGCAACTAAACGATTGGATTCTATTGTCTCAGAAATTATAGAAATAACGTGAATACTGGTTATTCGTGGTTAGCATTACCCTGTGGCTGGCTCTGCATGCTTTCCATACATACTTCATATCATTTAATCCTATGTCGTTTATACTATTATTAGTCCCATATCACAGAGGAAGGGAGGAACTGAGGCTCAGAGAGGTTATATAACTGGCCAGGGTCACCGAGCTACAAGACGTTAGAGCCAGGATTTGATCCCAGATCTGGCTGATTCTGCTATCCTGCCCTCTCATAGGCTTAAACATCAATACAGGTTCAGAGATATTTATATGAGTTGCAAATAAAGGATCCCCAGCAGGGAATGGCTCCTTTGCTCTGTCCCATAGATGTCCATCTTCCCAGGACATAGGTGGGGCCTGGCCTGGCCTGGAGTTTTGTTGAATGGAACTGCCTGCCCGGGTGATGTCACATGAAGGCAGCCCCACAGCCCTTCCCACAGAGCATCGTTATGATGCCGTCATGATGAACTTGAGACTGAGTGACTCAGAAAATGGTTTATGGTCACTTCTTTTGTAAATGACGCGCAGAATAGACAGTGCTCCGTGGGGAGGGACTGGACACACCTTTAGAGGAAGGTCAGGGCGGAGGGTGTTGCAGATGGTTTGTGGTTGCCATGGATATTGTCATTGCTGAGCAATCTCTTGTTCATGTTTCCAAGGCAACTTTGACCCCGAAGAACTTAACGTCTTCTTGTTAATTAGACCATCAGCTGGAATTGGCTAAGCTACTGTGGCAGGGGTTTGGGGTCAAAGCCATTTGGGTTAATATTTCCCTCCATTGTTCT